CATCCATCCACCCACTCACCAATACATTTCTCTTTTCTCTATCTATCTATCCATTCACCAATGTTTCTCTTTCTCTCTCCCTCTATCTATTCATCTATCTCTATCTATCTATCTATCTATCTATCTATCTATCTATCTATCCACCCACCAATGTTTTTATCTTTCTTTCTCCATCTATTCACTTGTGTCTTTCCCTAATTATCCATTCACCAATGTTTTTTTCTTTTTTTTCTCCCTCTGTCTATTCACCTGTGTCTTTCTCTATCCATCCATCCATCCATCCATCCATCCATCCACCAATATGTTTCTCTTTCTTTCTCCATCTATTCATGATGCCGAGCATCCCCCCCCCCCCCCCAAGTTCTTATAGTTCTGCCAAGGGCAAGGGCACCAGACTACACAGCAAGGGCTAAATCTTGGCCACATTGCCAAGACACTGACAACAACAAGGACCCCACGAGGCTTTTTGGGAAATGGCTAGATCTTGGGACTTCTGCCCTTTTGTAAGAGTTGTAGTTCCCCCAAGGACAGAGCGATGGATTTTGTTGTTTTTCAACTCAACGCCCATCTGCTGATTCCAGCCTGAAACCATGACTCTCTGCTGCGTGGACTGGACTGTTTGCCACAACCCTGGCCATGAACTTTCTATCAATGCTTGATTTGAACTGCTAGCAACCTCCATTTCCACACGCCCTTCCTAAGAGCATGAGATTTCCGGTTTGGGTCATAATAAAGATCAAATATTATAATAAAATTCCTGGGATGGGGATGGGGTTTGCCATATGAAATATAACCAAAAATGTTGTATGAAATGTACTGTGTTCCCCTTTCCCGCCTTTCCTGCTGACCCTTGCCCCACAAAAGAGTGACCTGAAGATGACTGTGATGCCCGGGGGAAAATCCTCTGTTTCCCCCCGAAATCCTTCCTGATTAATTCATCGGCATGAGACAAAAGCTGTTGATCCTTTTCCTCTCGCCTTCAGAGCGGACTAGGAAAAGGTCAACAGAGACTTGGACAAAAGAATTGGTTGAAACATTATCCGGGCCGTGTTGATTCCCTTGGGGTCCACTGTCTGGCCAAATATTCTCTTCCCCCAAAACCATTCCAAACAGGAAAACCTTTGATTACTGCAGTCACACCTAGCCAGCCCTAAACAAAGAAATCACATTCCATCAGCTGGCCGGCCTAATCCCATCCTCTCCCCATTGTGAGCGCTCGTCCCGCCCTCTCGTTCCTGATTGGTCCATCTTCGGGAGCGAGAGAGGCGCTCCGATTGGCCCTCCCGAGGCAGAGAAACACGCTGATTGGCTCAGAGGCGGGGCGGGCCGCCAAGCCTCCTCCCAGCTGTTCTGCAGCTAGCCAATCAGCGCAAAGCCGGCCGGCAGAGGGCGGGCGGGAATTTTGAGCTGTTTTCTTTGTGTTTTCTCTATAAAAATGCCTGTATTCTTTGTACTGGTATGCTTGCAGCGGAATGATTCCTGCAATGCATCTGATTACAGCTGAATCATAAATAAACTTCGGTTGCTGGAAACTTCTTCCACTTGGATGAGGCATTATTATTTGTAATATTTTAAGATTGGCTTCGCTGGCCTCACCATGGTACAAGGGCCCTTTTGCGCGGTCCTCGGGGGACTCCTCTAGGAAAACCCCTCCAAAAGAGCTCGATATCATTCACCTGTGTCTTTCTTTCTTTCTATCTATCCGTCCATCTGATCATTTAATCCCTCCATTCCCCAATACATGGGCATTAAGAGGGGCTGTGCAATAGGGATTAGAATGTGCCAAGATGGGTGTTTTTGTTTCAGGAATTCTACATATACGTATAATAATGCGTTATTGGAGACAGCCTTTAATTCCAATGGACAATGACAATACAAGTTATTCTGTTGTTGTATTCTGCAGGTCGCCTTCACGGCCAACAGGCCACCGATGTGTATGAAGCTGTCTCGTCGACGGGGTGGCCCTCCAGGGGGGTGGAGTGGTCCTCCGAAGCTTCAATTCAGAATGTCACCGTCGTCGATGCCGTGCTTCCGGCTGATCCGGCGGTGCCGCAGGGCCTTTCCCGCAACACCGTCTCCGTGGGGCCCGTCCCAGCCTCCCACATCGTGCCAGATGGCCACTCCACCTCCCTGGAGTGCAGCTTTGAGCCTCCCCAGGCCAACGTCACCTGGGTTCGCTCCTGCTCCCCGAATTGCAGCCACAGTTCTAATGTGGCCACCGGGGTCTGGAACCGAGAGGTGTCCGTGGACCGCAGAAAGGGAGTGTCACGGCTCTCCTTCCGCCCAGCGCTCAGGAACGACTCCGGGATGTATTACTGCTTCGTGGAGGCGCCGGGTGGCCGGGGACACTCCTGCGGGACGTACCTCTGGGTCCGGAGTGAGTGTGGGCTGGGAGGGAGGGATGGTGTAGCGAGGGAGGGAGACTATTTCTTTATTTAAGAAAAAATCTCTTTACTCTAATAAGGATTCAGTTTCTTCTTTTATATTAGTTGGGACTTTC